CCAAGATGGCCTGCAATCGGCCAGGAAGGTGCCGCGTGGCCGCCATGACGATCCAAGATGCAGTCCAATACGGCCGATCTGACCCAGCGTTGCCCTAAATCACCTCGAGAGAGTTGCAAGCTCCAGGAGGGTCTCGGCCGGCCGCCAGAGGCCGAAAGACTCCCAGAGGCCTAGGAGGCATGACCTTGTGCCTCCTCGTTCCCCTCTTCCTCCTCCTCCTCCACCTCCTCCTCCTAATTCTTGCTCTCCCCCTCCTGACCCCTTCCCCTCTCCTCCTCCCAGGTGGTCCCTGAGCGGTTTAAGCAGCGGCTGGAGGAACTCATGGTCCGATGGCTCAAGAGGATGTCACATTGCCCGCACCACGGACTTGGGCGTGGGGCAAGCTCCGTCCTGCAAGGTGAACTCCGAGGGTTGGGGTCCAGAGTTTTCTTAGTGGCTGACAACGTCAGGTCGCGTACCCCCTCCAGCGCCTCTCCACCAGCCGTCTGGGAAGTATTGTGGGCCGCTCCTGGCGCCTAGTGTGCCGCTGCAGCGATAACCTCATTTCCACGGCGTCTGGTCCTTCTGAATGGCGCCCCCGCTGCAACACCGGCCTCATTTCCAAATTGTCGTCCCTCCAGTACGGTTTTGCGGCTGCACCGTGCAAGCAGCCATAGTAAGCGATACCAGCTCCGAGACGGCACAAGAAGACCCCGAGATCGCCCGAGATCGCATGTAGTGGTATAACTAGGTTTTGGATGTGCGGCTGTGCGTAGCTTCAGTATCTATCCATGCGCCGAGTGCCACACAGATAGGTGGGCCAACTTCGTAAAGCGGACAACGGCAGACTCGTAAGAACAAAAAAAAACGAGATCGCCCCAAGACAGCCTTTGAGGACACCGAGAGGGTTCCAAGACAGCCGAACAAGATGCTTAAAGCATTTCTCGCCCCGCTGAGGCCATCGCACGGGACGGAGCCCACCCCTCGGAGGCCAACATGCATAATCCCGCAGGACAGTTCCGCTGCACAAGCTCGGCTCCGCGGGGTTCGTTCCCCCCTTGCGTTGCATCTTCGGGGGACCTCGCCTGCCCTCATGCGCCCGATGCGCCCGATGCGGGCTCGATGCGGGCTCCACGCAGATTTGGCGCGGACTCGACGCGGATTCGACGCGGATCCGACACGGATCCGACGAGCCAGACATGGATTCGACGCAGATAGGGCCGCGACGGGACAGACAAGGTCTTCCAACGATGCAACACAACCCCGTGGCTTGCGTGGGACAAGCTCGGGACGACCCACGACAACAACGCCGAAAATGGTCCGCCCTCCCGTCCGGATCTGCTCGGCCGAGGAGGAACGAAGAAGGTCACGAAAGGAAGAGGGGGGAAAGACCATGTCCGAACATCGAAGAGATACTTCATGGCACGGATACGGTGACGACGACGTCAGACCGTCGAGCCGACCGCTCTCGCGAAGTCGCCCGACCGTCCGCCCGCCCACGAGCCCGCCGGCCCGAGCGCCCGCGCGCGCGCGCCTGCCGACATGATGCGCCCCCGATTGCCGACCTGCGCGCCCCGAGGCTAGCCAGAGAGCGCACCGCCGAACTGGGCCCCACGTGAGCAGGTCGATGATCCTCAGGACGCGTGTCAGCCCAATGTGTGTGTTTACCCCGTTCAACCCAACCAGTTGATCATCACATCGCCTTCGTCGTAGTGAGTCGTAGTGAAGGGCCTCAGTGGGCGAACACACGTTGGCGCTAGCACACGTCCTGAGGATCATCGAGCAGGGCCCCCAGCCGAACGGGTCCCTGGCTGACCTGGGCCCCGCGCCAGGCGCCGCAGCGGCATCCTCCGGGGCGAGTGCCTCCAGAGCCACCCCCTTGGACTGAGGGCGTGCCTCAGGCCCCGGCAGTTTGCCCGGCTCTCGGAGCAGTCTGTGAGGATGCCTCGAGCGAGGCGCTGGTCTCAGCACCACAGAGGGGAGCGGCCAGGGGGGTATCCCACGGGCCCGTTCGCGCTCAGACTGTGGGGATGTCTCACACGGTTTGCTTTGTTGGGGGTTTGGGCTTCGGTGCTTTCGGAACAGCTTCTGGGGGAGTTTCGAGCGAGGCGCTGGTTTCATTACCCCCAGAGGGAACTTGCAGGGGGCATGTCACTGGCCCGTTCGCGCCCAGATTGCGGGGATGTTTTGTGCAGTTTCCCTGTTTGGTGGCCCAGACTTCTTGGCGTTTAGAGCGGATTGTGGGGATGCCTCGAGCGAGGCGCTGGTTTCAGCATTCACGGGGGAGATGCCACGGGGTATTTCACGGGCTTGTGCGCGCCCAGATTGTGGGGATGTCTGAGGCGGTTTGTCTGACTGGTGGCCTTGATTATTGTGTTTTCGGAACAGATTGTTAGGATGTCTGAGGCGCTGGCTTCAGCACCCCACGTGGGGGGGGGCGCCAGAGGGTATCTCACAGGCCGTTCGCGTCCAGATTGTGGGGATGTTTCAGGAGGTTTGCCTGTTTGGTGGCCCAGGCTCTTCTGCCTACAGGTCGTGAGGATGTCTCGAGCGAGGCGCTGGTTTCAGCACCCCAGGCGGCCAGATCGCGGGGAGGTATCAAGGGAGGTGCTCGGTTTTGTACCTCCGACTCCTGTCTATCCGGAGCCTCGTAATTATTTCGACGCGGGGAGAAGGACGGCCGTCGGGACAGAGGACGGAGGACGGAGGAGCCAGAAGGATGACGCAGGAAGTGGGGAGGGGTAAGGGAAGAGGGAGGAAGAGAAGCGAGAGGGCACAACGAGTAGTTCGAGGGAGGCATCCTGCGCACTGCCTGTCTATCTGTCTGTTTGCCTGTTTGCCTGTCTGTCTGTCTGTCTGTCTGTCTGTCTGTCTGTCTGTCTGTCTGTCTGTCTGTCTGTCTGTCTGTCTGTCTGTCTGTCTGTCTGTTGTCGTCGTTGCTGTCCCTCATCGTAGCCGCCGTCGCCGCCGTCGTCGTCGTCGTCGTCGTCGTCGTCGTCGTCGTGCTCGTTGTCCACTCGCACTCGCTCTCGCACCCAGACGCTCACGGCCAGACTGACAGCGGGACGTGCCAGGAACTGAGATGCACATATGGAGATTACCGCGTCGAGTAATTCTTGCTCTACAGGGTGGGCCTGCCTCGGCCCTCTGGCATGACGGAGTAGGCATGGGGGTGGTGGTGGTCATTGCATAAGGGAAACAGAAACCCGAGCAGAGCAACACGCACCACGACCACGACGACGCCGACGACGACGACGACGGAGACGAGGCGCGCTTACGATCCGCACCGAAGCACGGATTTGGGAAAGGGCCCACCCTGCAGGTTCGGTTAAACAGCACATCGTTGAGCGGTGCTGCAGCCTCCCCTGAGCACAGGCCCCCCCAGAGCATCAGCCAGACAAGTCGGGTTTGCACCCTCATGCCTTGCTGGACTCTGGGCGCGTTTCGGCACCCTCTCCCCCAACCTCGTCAGGGCCACCGACAAGGGAGAGGGCGGCGGTGGCCGACGCGTCCCCGAGCTAAGAAGCTCAAAGCGCCGCGGCTCAGAGAGCCGGGAAGACAGACAGACAGACGGACGGACGGACAGCCAGGCGGCGTGCAATGCCTGGCAAGCCAAGTGGGTGGTCACTGCATAAGGGAAACAGAATCCCGAGCAAAGCAACACGCACCACGACCACGACGACGCCGACGACGACGACGGAGACGAGGCGCGCTTACGATCCGCACCGAAGCACGGATTTGGGAAAGGGCCCACCCTGCAGGTTCGGTTAAACAGCACATCGTTGAGCGGTGCTGCAGCCTCCCCTGAGCACAGGCCCCCCCAGAGCATCAGCCAGACAAGTCGGGTTTGCACCCTCATGCCTTGCTGGACTCTGGGCGCGTTTCGGCACCCTCTCCCCCAACCTCGTCAGGGCCACCGACAAGGGAGAGGGCGGCGGTGGCCGACGCGTCCCCGAGCTAAGAAGCTCAAAGCGCCGCGGCTCAGAGAGCCGGGAAGACAGACAGACAGACGGACGGACGGACAGCCAGGCGGCGTGCAATGCCTGGCAAGCCAAGTGGGTGGTCACTGCATAAGGTCGCAGGCGATTTCTCTCCCCCAATCCCCGACTTCCGCCAGAAAAGTTTGGTCGCTCAGAAAATGGAAAAACCCTGGGATACATCCCGAGGGGGCTATTCGGACGCACCCCTGTCGAGGATGGGCACCCCCCCATCGTATATCCCAGGGTTGGGCCCCAAATTTCTGGTCCATGCGGAAACCCCACGAAGCCTGGGATAGGGGTCGACGTATCCCTTGTTATAAGGGAAACAGAATCCCGAGCAGAGCAACACGCACCACGACCATGACGACGCCGACGACGACGACGGAGACGAGGCGCGCTTACGATCTGCACCGAAGCACGGATTTGGGAAAGGGCCCACCCTGCAGGTTCGGTTAAACAGCACACCGTTGAGCGGTGCTGCAGCCTCCCCTGAGCACAGGTCCCCCCAGAGCATCAGCCAGACAAGTCGGGTTTGCACCCTCATGCCTTGCTGGACTCTGGGCGCGTTTAGGCACCCTCTCCCCCAACCTTGTCAGGGCCACCGACAAGGGAGAGGGCGGCGGTGGCCGACGCGTCCCCGAGCTAAGAAGCTCAAAGCGCCGCGGTCCAGAGAGCCGGGAAGACAGACTGACAGACGGACGGACGGACAGCCAAGCGGCGTGCAATGCCTGGCAAGCCAAGTGAAGGGAAACAGAATCCCGAGCAGAGCAACACGAGGCATGGGGGAGGGAAGAGGAGGAGGGGCTGAATCTATGGATGTTGGTCGGCGTCGAGGTTCCCGAGACTCTCTGTGGCCGCGGGAGGTGGGCCAGGCTCTCTTGAGATGGATTGGGGGATGCGCGGGAGCCCGTTCGGCGTCGGCAGGGCTGGTGCACGCCTGCGGCGACCCCTCCCTGCAGAAAGTCCCCGTGGAAAAGCCCCCCTCCCCAGGACGACTTCGAGCCCGGGAAGCCCGTCTTCGTGGACGGCCCGCACGGGCGGATGCAGGTCGCCGAGCCCCCGGGCGCGACGCCCGGCTCCACGCACCGCTTGAGGCCCCGCCGGCCGGCTGCCGTCGGTCGTTGCAGCCGGCGCGTAAACGCCCCCCGGCTGCCTGCGGCAAGCCCCCGCCGCCGTGCCGGCCCAGCGCTCCGGGTGGGGCGAGTGCTCGAGGAGCGCACAGGGCGCCCTGACGCGTGACCCCTCGTGTCCGTCTTTTTCCGTCTTGAGGCCTGCTGCCGTTGATCACTTCAGCTTGCGCGTAAATCTCTAGTAACCTGCGGTACGTCCTGCCACAGTGTCAGCCCAGCGCTCCGCGTGGCAGCTGCTCGAGGAGCACACAGGACGCCCTATCTCGTGACACATCATGTCCTGAGGCATGGGAGAGCCTTTGAAGTGTGACGCTCTCTTCCGCGTCGTGTCGGGGTGTCTCTCCCCGTGTTCGTCGTTTTCATCTCTTCCTCTTCTTTCCTCCTCCTCTGGGGGGAGTCCTCTTAGAGGCCTGTCGGGGGCGTCTTGGGGGACTCCGGGGGACTCTTAGGGGCCTCCATCTGCCGTCTCAGGGGGCTTTTGGGCAGTCTGGCGCCTTTGGAGTCCGCCTTGGGAGCCTCTTTGGGCCATCTTGGGGCGCTCCTTGGGGTCCTGAAGAGTGGGCGGTCCGGGGTCTCCGCCGGGCTGTTTTGGGGCCTCTTTGGGCAGTCTTGGAGGCCTTTTGGGCCATCTTGAGAGCCTCTCGGGTCGTGTTGGAGCGTTGGAGCACTCTTGGGGGCCTCTTGGGCCATCTTGAGAGCCTCTCTGGTCGTGTTGGAGCCCTCTTGGGGGCCTTTTGGGCCATTTTGCGGTTTCTTTTGCCATCGATCTGACGAAAGCCAGAAATTGTGAGAACGAAAACATTTGTCAAATGTCCATGAGGATCAATGGTTCTGATGACTTCAAGCCCTACTTGGTGTCCCATCTTGGTGGCCCCCTCAGGGCGCTTTGACCCCATCTGGGTCGTCTGGCGTGCCCAAGGGCGCCCCAAGAGTGCCCGAATAGGCTCCCAGGAGTGCTCCAGAAAGCCCCCAGACGGCGCAGGAGGGCCTCAACACGCGGCCTGAGAGACTGAGAGAACCTAACAAGAAACGCCCAGACAGCCCAAGAAGACCCCAGAAGCCCCCAAGGAGGATCCCAAAAGGCCCCGAAAAGGCCCCATAGAGGCACAAAAGACCTCCGCTCCGCGCGCGCCATGGAAGCGGGGTCCCAGCGCCGGTCCAAGAAATCCTTGCTGACCTCCGAAAACTTAATTATGCTGATGTATATGTGGATAGTTCCTCCTCTAACCCTGGGGCTTCAGACGCCTCTGGAGATTTCCGGAAGTCTCGTGAGCGGCGTCATATCCGTATCCACGGCCTCGTGGACTGGGCCCTTGGGCCGCGACCCTCTGGAAAGTGGGCGCTCTTGTCCGCGGACTCCCCGCGCGGAACATATGTGTACGACCGCGTGCGCATGGGATCGCGCCCTGGAGTTCCGACCGCGTGGGTGTGGGTGTGCGGACGCGCTCGCCGCGCGTGGAGGTCCCTGGAGGTTTCCCTCCCCCGTGGCGATGGTCGAGCGAGGCGCCTCCCCGAGCCAGGGGGAGAGCATAACAAAACCCGAGGGGGGGGCAAAGCCATGCTCGGAGGAGGCGCCGAGAGCGACGGCTGCCGTGCCCTCCCCTCCCGTGCCTCCCTCCACTCCTGCCAGGCAGCTGGATATGCACAGGACGCACGTGGGGCGGCTGGCCTCGAAGAGAGCGAGTTGCACGTGGCGCGCTCCGCGAATGACTTCGCCTGCAAGGGCCGAAGGAGTTGGCAATTCTGTTCTGGCGGGAGACGGCGGACGCAGAACGGCAGCGGTTCCACCGGCGGAAGCCAGCGGAGGCAGAAGATGAAGTTTCGACGGCTTGAGAGAGCATCAGCCTATTCTGCCACGCGCTGGGTCGCAACTCCCAGCCCGACACCCGACCGTGCCAATTGCTCTGCCGCCATGGGATGGCGCCCCGCGCGCAGCCCGACGGACGTGAGCAGATTCCAAGCATGCTGTATTGTTTTTTACGAGGGATGGTGGTAGGAGTCGGCATGGTCCCTGGTTTGTCGCCGTTCGGGTGGGGGAGGGGGTGTATATTGGTGAGGAACCGTGTGGGCCCCTCCCCGAAGGGGAGCGCTGGGGGTCGGAAGAGGAAGCGCTCTACACCGCTCACGCCCTCAAGAGCTGGTGGGATGTTTGTTCCTAGCAGGATGACTGCTTCCTCCGGGCGGCGAGCCCGGGGGGGGAAGTGAGAAGGGGCGGGCCTTCTCAGAAGGCTCGGAAGTCACCTCGCCTTCTGAGAAGTTGTTTCTAAGCCTTCCCCGAAGATGCAGGAATCTTCTCCCAGAAGGCCGGAGGCCTTCTGGGAAACCCTGCTGCTTTCTGAGAAGGCTTTCTCCTTCTCGCTTCCCTTAGGCCTCCTAGATGGGGTCGGAGTCGATGGGGTCGGAGGATCGCGCCGCATCGCCGATGCATCGCCGATACGGCTCGATGTGGAGCCCGATCTGCTTCACATCGACGTCGCCGATGCATCGCCGATGTACCGACGATGCGGCTCGATCCTCCGACGCCATCTACGCCGACCCCGTCTGGGAGGCCTCTGCTTCCCCCCCTCGCAAGCCGCCGATCGTTTGCTGCAGGCTGGCGCCGCCGCCGGAGTTCCGCGTGGGCGTGCCGCGGGGCGCCGCGGCGGGCAGCGAGCTGACGTTCACGAGGCCGTGGGCCGGCGGGCTGGCCGCCGCCGCCGTGGGTTGGCCGCCGCCGTCGCCGCCGTTGCCCCTGTCGCCGTCGCCGCCCCAAAGTTAAGTTGGGCGTGCCCCTCTACAGGAGGAGTAGTCAAAAATAGTAAAAAAATAGTCAGGCGACGATTTTTTGATTATGTTGTGGCTACTTTTGAATCTGTTTGACTATGTTGCATTTTTCGCCCAAGATCCCCACTGCTGGATTCGCCCAGAGATTCTGGTCATCACGCACCCCAGGAATGGTCCGGGGAGTAGCGGTGCAGTGGAAACCCATGCCAAGAAACTCTCTGCTTGCCTCCAGGGTGCCCTGGATTTCTTGGGCTCCGATGGTTTTGCGACGGAAAGCGTGACGTTCCCCCACGACAGATCAGGGGACGTCTTGCGGTCTCAGGGGTGGGTTTCTTGTGGAAGGTTTCTTGTGGTCGAGCTCCTACTGCATCGAAGAAGTCTAGGCGTCGAAGAAGTCCAGATGTCGGAGTTCGGGGGCTGCCGTTGCCTGTAGGGATGGGAGGCAGCATCGACGGCACGCCGCCGTTGGGAGCCCGTCGGCGGGCTGCTCTCCCTCGTTCTCGTCCGAAGGCCTGGTGCTCACCCACCGTGAGGCGCTGATGGGCCGTGAAGGGTTCCCCGCGGCTCGGCGGCGAGCGCGGGGGGTGCACATCCGTGGGGAGCAGTGTGGATCCCTCTCCGAAGGGAGGGGCGGGGGGGGTGGAAGCTCTCTAAACCACTCACGCCCTCAAGGGCCAGTGGGATGTGTGTTCCTCGCAGAATGGCTGCTTTCTCCGGGCGGCGAGCCTGGGGGGGGGGGGAGTGAGGAGGGGCGGGCCTTCTCAGAAGGCTCGGAAGTTCCCGGGCCTTCTGAGGAGTGCTTTTTCTAAGCCTACACACTTCTCGGAAGGCGCGAGGGCTTCTGAGAAGCCCCGTCGCCTTCTTCTGGAAGGCCTTCTCCTTCTCGCTCCCCCCCCCCGGCTGGGAGGGCCTTCTCCTCCTCCTTCTCCTACTCCTCCTCCTTCCGAGGAGAAGGAGGAGGAGGAGGAGGAGCAGGAGGAGGAGGAGGAGGAGGAGGAGGAGGAGGAGGAGGAGGAGGAGCAGGAGGAGCAGGAGGAGGAGGAGCAGGAGGAGGAGGAGGAGGAGGAGCAGGAGCAGGAGGAGGAGGAGGAGTAGGAGGAGGAGGAGGAGGAGGAGGAGGAGGAGGGGGAGGAGGAGGCCTTCTGAGTTTGGCTCGCCGCCGAACGGCGGCGTTCCTTGCCGCTGCTCTCGCTCCTCCGCTGCCGCCCTCGTCGCCGCCGCCGCCGGGCGCCCGCCCCTCCCTTGCGCCCCGCCGGCCGACACGACCCGCGGAGGCCGGACGGCCTCGAGATCTGCGTGCCCGTGCCGCCCGGCCTCAAGGCCGCCGCGGCTCATTTCGATACCGCCGATTCGATTTCGATTTCGATTTCGAGGGGGTCCGATTCCAATTTCGATGTGGCTCGATTTCGATTCGATTTCGATTTCGATTTCGATCTAGATTTCATTTCGATGCCGCCGATTCGATTCGATTTCGAGGGGCTCCGATTCCGATTCGATTCGATGTCCGATTCCGATTTGAGATTTCTCATTGGATGCCTACCAGCCTGCCGATGTCTGCCGGTTCGACTTTTCCCAACTCGGCTGGCGATTTCCACCGATTCGATTCATTTCGATCGCCGATCCGACTTATCGATTCGATTATGGTCTCTCCTGGCCGCTCTTCCTTGCGCTCTGCCCCGGCTCCTTTCGGGTCGGTATATGGATGCTCAGAGGAGGAAAGGGTACCCCTACAGCTACCTTTGCCTGTTTTTTGTTCCCCTTTGTGGGCCTCCTGGGAGGTCCTTCTCGCCACCGCCGGATTCGCCTCGAAGTCCTGGTCAGAGCGCGTCCCAGGAGAGGTCCGGGGAGTAGCGGTATCGGTACTTGTTGGTTTCTCCATGATGCGGGGGTGGGGGGGAATGCGGCCAGGACTTTCTCGGCTCAGCGTGTCGCGCCGCCAGTTCTGGCCCCTCCTCCTCCTCCTCTTCCTCCTCTTCCTCCTCCTCCTCCTCTGCCTCCTCTTCCTCCTACTCCTCCCCCCCCTCCCCCTCCCCCTCCTCTTCTTCTTCCTCCTCCTCCTCCTCCTCCACATCCACATCCTCCTCCGCCTCCTCCTCCTCCACATCCACATCCACATCCTCCTCCTCCTCCCCCCCCGCCTTCGGAGAAGGAGGACGACGACGAGAAGTCGGTGCGATGCCTGCGCTGCGTGCTGCTGCAGCAGGCCGCGGGCGCCCCTCCCCCGCGAGGCCTCGGGCGCGGCAGGGCGACGCACACGCAGAGCCATCGGTTGCCGAGCGGGAGGAGGCGCAGCCCGCACAGCAGGAACGGCTCCAGCGGGGAGAGGCTGGCGCGGCGCCTCGTCCGGCGCCCCGCCCCTTTCCTCCCCCCTCCTCGACGTAGAACAAAAACATGTAAACCTACGTAAACTTTTGGCGCTCCGCGCGGATTTCTTTGGATCCGCGCCTGGGCCCCCCCCGGCGGCGCCTCCTGCGCCGCCCCTGGCGCCGGAGGCGCGCCAGGGAGGGGACTCCAGCGCGAATCCAAGAAATCCGCGCGGAGCGCCAAAGTTTATGTTTATGTGTTTTTCTTCTTCTTCTACCTCCCCTCCCCCCTCCTGCGGGCCGCAGCGCCGTGCCCGACCTTTGGCGCGGGTTCTCGCGCCAGCGCTCCCTGCCGCCTTTGCGGCCCTGTGTGGTATCGGCTGCGCCCCCCAGCCCTGGCGCTGCGCTGCTGCGCCTGGCCTGCCTGCTGCTTCCGTGGAGCTGGGCGACGCGATCTTCGGTGTTCGCTCCACGACTTGGTGGCTTGCTGATTGCCGCGCTCAATCAGTGCCGCGATGCCTCCAGGGTTGCGCCTCCTTGCGCTCGGACTCTCTGTGCCCGTTTCTTACAAGCCCAGTTTTGCCCGGCCCTGGCCGTCATCGCTCTCGACCCCATGGTGTGGAGGACCCGCCGCCCTGGGCTCTCAGTCGTCGCCGATTTCGTGTTGTGACGTCATGTGCGGTCGTTTTCCTGGTTTTCCTTGTTCACTCGTTGCTGCGCGTTTCTTGGCAGCACAGTTTCTGAGTTCGTGGCCCCTGGATTCGAGTGCTACTCACACCTTGAGTTTTCCACGCATCCTCCTACCGTGCACGCCCGCGCTTTGGCACACACTCCTACACGCGTGCAATCATATCACGCTCCCAGCGTGCTCCCCTCCTCTTCCGCGCGCTCGTCCCCTTCACGCCGCCTGCTGCGCCCAGATGGGGGTCGCATGCATCCCACGTCTGCCTCCCATCGCGGCTGGGGCTCCCGCCGCCGCGACAAAAGTGGCGGTGCTCAGAATCCTCGGTGCTCCTCGGGCACCCAGATCCGCCCGCGCGCCGCGCGCGAGGCCTCCCCCCTCCCACCCCTTCCTTCGGAGGCAACTCCCTGGGGGGCCCAATTCTGATCTCGCCCTGGTCCGAAATCCAGCCTCATCGCGCGCCATCCGGCTTTTAAGCCCCATTGCTCCCGCTCGATTTGGCCTGATCCCGCCCCATCCGAGGGCCACTCTGGCCCAGCAGCCCCCCCCAGTGGGGCTTGAATCCTCCCCGATCCCTTCCGACGAAGACCTCCCGGCAGTTGCCTCCGCACCGTCCACCCCCCCCGTGCTCGCCCTCGGCGCGCCGCCGCCCCGCCCACGAGGCCGGGGACGCCTTCGAGGTGCCGCCGCCCTGCCTCATGGTGCGGGTGCCCGAGGGCGCCGCGCCGGGGGACACGGTCGCGTTCCGCGGCGGCCCCGGCGCGGGCGAGGCGGGCGAGGAGAGCCGCACGCTGCCTGGGGTCGTCCAAGGGGGGGGGGGGGCCGAGGGTCAGGTCGGGCCCCCGCCCTCCTGCAGGCGGGTTCCGGAGGACATGCCATTGTGCCAAGGAGGTCAGAGAAGATGCACAAGCAGCAGGCAAAGAAACAGCACATCGTCCCCAGATTATGTTTGATACTATTTGGGAATATCCCTCCTGTGGAGGGATAGGCCCGACTTAAACCAAGGGGGGGTGGGGGCGCTGGTTGAGGGGTGTGCCCAGGGGCTGCAGACCCTGGGAGATCCCTCGTCTGATGAGGGCGGCAGTGGTGTCCATGGCCACTCCACTGTTGGAGCTCCGCCGGCTTCCAGACCCCGACTTTTTAACCCAACGGTTCCTCGTCCGATGCCGCCACCGCATTTCATCGCCCGTGCTCTTATTCCAGTGCGTCTCCTGATCCCCCCTGGGCCGCGCGCGTTCCTCGGGTCATGATTTGCGAACCCCTTCTTCGATGTCCTCCTCTTGGACGTCCCCGGACGCTGAAGCCCCAAAGTTCTTCTCAAGCTAAGATCGGAGGCGCGCCGAGGGGCGAGGATTCGGGCGTTGAAGCCCCAGAGTTTTCAATCTATGATCGGTACGATCGACTGTCGGTGCCGCCCCTGGCGTTGTCCAACTGAGACAGGCTGCCTACCGTGCCCATCTTTTCCGTACCCATTTGGGGCGTTCCAAAAGGGCCTTGTTTTCGAGGATCGAAGGAGTTGTCATCTCTTCCGCGGCGGAAGGCGGCGGAAGCAGAACGAGGCTGCCTCCGCCGGCAGAAGGGCGGCGGACGGTGGCGGAAGTAAGACACGCGCCCCCGAGAGGTGAAAGCGTTGTTGGATTCGGGGTTCCCGAAATCCGCCATGGCGGGCGTTCACAATGATCGGCGGCGCGCCGAGGAGGGGAACGCGAGGGAGCAGGCCTTCTCAGCAGGCGGGGTGCCGTCGGAAGAGGCCCGGGAGAAGCCTCTCGGAAGGCCAGATTCCCCCTGGAACCTTCAAAGGAGGCTTGCACCCTCTGCCTCAAAATATTGAACATTCGAAACTGGTATCCTCCTCCTCCTCCTCCTCCTCCTCCTCCTCCTCCTCCTCCCCCTCCTCCTCCTCCTCCTCCTCCTCCTCCTCCTCCTCCTGCTCCTCCTCCTCCTCCTCCTGCTCCTCCTCCTCCTGCTCCTCCTCCCCCTCCTGCTCCTCCTCCTTCCCCCCCCCGGGCCGCGCCGCCGGAGTTCTCGGGGCTGAGGTGGTGCACATTTCCGAGGCGCGGATGTACCCATCACCGCCGCCCGGGGATCGTTCTTCGGGGACCTCGGTAGGCGGTGGATGTGGACATATTCGGGCCCCGGGGGGGCCATACATATCCACATCCACCGCCTGCCGAGGTCCCCGAAGAACGATCCCCAGGCGGTGGTGATGCATACGTCCCCGCCTGGCGCATGTTTTTACTCGTAGATTGAGCTCTAGGCCTGCTCCGTGGGGGTCGCTGTCGTCGCCGAGGTTCTATGGCCGCTTCGTGGCGGCCAACTTCTGGACGCCTCGCGTAAGCCCGCCAGCCCATCCAGAAGCGATGCCCGGAGGAGGAGGAGGAGGAGGAGGAGGAGGAGGAGGAGGAGGAGGAGGAGGAGGAGGAGGAGGAGGAGGAGGAGGAGGAGGAGGAGGAGGAGGAGGGGGGAGGAAAGGAGGGAGCAGGGAGGAGGGAGGAGGAGAGACCAGCAGATGAGGAAGAGGAAGAGGAAGTGGAGGACGAAGAGGAGGAGGAGGAGGAGGAGGAGGAGGAGGAGGAGGAGGAGGAGGAGGAGGAGGAGGAGGAGGAGGAGGAGGAGGGGGAGGAGCAGGAGGAGGAGGAGGGCGAGCAGAAAGGCCAGAGGCCTCTTGGATGCCTCTCGGAGTCTTTCCGCATTTCTTTCGAGGGTTCCCTGGGGTCCTTGTGGGGCGTCTTGGGGGCAGTCCCGCGGGCGTCTTGAGGCGCCTTGGGTGCTTCTTGGTGGCCCCTTGCGGCGTCTTGGGGGCCTCTTGGGAGCCTCTTGGGAGCTTCTTGGGGGCATCGTGGGGCCCTCTTGGGGCCTCCTGGGCACGACTTGGGGCCGTCTTGGGGCACCCTAGGGATCCTTGGGAGCCATGTTGGGGCCATTTTGGAAGAGATCGATCAAAGGAGGGGGGCTCCTTACTTAGGGTTCCCCCCCACGAGGCCAACATGTGGCTAAAAAGTGAAATCCATGAATGTGGCCTTCTCGCCGAGGCCTCTTGGGGCGTCTTGGGTGCCTCTGGGGGGCCTCTTGCGGCGTCTTGGGGGTATCTTGGGCCTCCTGGGGGCATCTTGGGGGTCTCTTAGGGGCCTCTTGGGGCCTCCTTGGCGCACCCTTGAGAGCATCGGGGTCCATCTTGGGGCCATCGAACGACATCTGGACGAACGGGCAAAGACGGGTCGTCGAAATCTGGACGACATCCTGTCGAAGTCACGTCTATGATAAAGCCGCGGAGGTGCACAGAGACTCCCATGAAGGCACACCTAGCCTTGAATCGTGTTGCCTCCGCAGCCGGCGTGGCCTGAGAGCGCTTAGCAAATCAAGGCTACTCTCAAGGGAGGCACCGCACAAAAAGCCAGGGGAGGCACCTCACAAAAAGCCGCGTCTTATCACATTCATCCAGCGTCCTGGAACGATCAGGGCGGCCTGTGCCTCTTATGTCCGGGTTTCAGGGGGCCTGCCTCGGGGGCCTCTGGACCCGCGGCAGAAACAGCCCACGGCGCGATCTCTGTGTATCAGATGGGGTCAGGCATTCCAGAACCAGCTTCGGGTGGAAAAGACGGATCGACGGGTTTGGTTGTACACCTTCCATGAGTTCGCGCGAATTTATTGGATCGGCATTTTTTTTCGAAAGATATGGTTATTATGTACCTTCCATTGGTCCGCGAGGATCTCTTCGATCGGCACTCGATTTCTAGGGATGTTCAGCGCCCGTCCAACAAAACTGGGCGGACCTCTGGAAGTTACTGTTTTCATGTTTATGATGATGAACCTTCGTCTTTCTAAAAGTGAGGATGTCGCTGGCCTGTCGAAATCGTCTGTTATTGTTTGTTCCATCGTATAGGCCGCGTGTTCCCGGGTGGCTGATCACTGATCATTTCATGTTCCTTTTGCTGGTTGTGGGTGCGAGATATTACGATCGAGCATTTGATTAACAAATTTCCTCTCGAAAAGTTGGGCCGACATTTCTGAACCAACTTGCCAGAGAGTTGGCCCCGTTCCTTGAGCACGTTCGTCCCCCCCAGCGTTAACGACAGAAATTGACCAGGCTTGTTTTGAGAAACTTCTGGGAAGCTTGCCCAGATTTCTTCAACGCTCGTTTGCTTGATCATATGTTCGGCTGTAAGATCTCCGCGTGGCCTGGGGCAGCCGTCCACCACGGTGGAGATATATTTGGCCGTTGCATTCCTGGTGCCCATCGAGAGGAGGGCGGCTGGTGCCGAGCGAAGGTCCCCGAGGGGGTGCTGCCCGGCGGCTATTTCTCGGCGCGGCTCCCGCCGCCAGACGACGCCTCGAAGAAGCCGGTGGTGGGCAAGGTGGTGGGCAAGCCCACTGCCCGGGCGGAGGCGCCCGAGTGGACGGAGGTGCCGGACCCCAAGACTGGCAAGGCGTACTACTGGAACAAGGTCGGGCGGGGCCAGGACTGGGAGAGATCGTTGCAGAGCGTTCTGGAGCGCTCTGGAACGGCCGCGGCGCCCGATACATCCTCTAGAACCGCTGGAGCTCACAGATCCCCGATCTGTCTCGGTCCGATTTCGTCCTGGTCCTGGCTTCGTCTGACAAGGCCACGGGCGAGACCTCGTGGACGAGGCCGCCGACGGCGCAGGAGGTCGTTGCGAAATATCCGGCCCTGAACCTAACCTCTGAGTCGGATTTCGAGGTCGCCGCGGCGATCGCGGCGAGCACAAATATGGGTCAGATTTTTGTCAAGGAGTGGCATGCCCCTTCCCAGCCCCCCCCCGCTCAGAGATACAGACGTGGCTCATAGTTAACACCATTCGCGACAGAGAGCTGTCAATGTGTGCCGAACATGGACTGTCATGTTGTTTTGTTTGGTTCGGGGTCGATAGCCATGCAGCCAGGAGATGGAGCGCGCGGTGCGCGAGCGGATCCAGGCGCTCGAGAAGCAGCACGCGGGCGCGCCGCAGAAGGCCGGGGCGCCCGGCTCGCAGGCGCGGCGCCGTGCCAAGAAGTAGGGGCAGCCATGGCGCGCGGTCCCGAGGCGAGCTCTGGCGCCGGCTGGCGCCGAGCCGCCTGCGGCTGTCGGCCAGGTCGGCAGAGGAGCAGAAGCACCCTCGCAGGCGACTTTCCTCCCCAATCCCCGAGTTCCGCCCGAAAAGCTTTGGCCTTCAGAGACAGTGGGAACCCCTGGGATACACCCCAAAGAGGCTATTCGGATGCACCCCTAACGAGGATGGACGCCCCATCGTATATCTTAGGGCTGGGCTCAAAATTTTTGGCCCATACGAAAACCCCACGAAGCCCGGGATAGGGATCGACGTATGCCCCGTTACACCCGAGATCCGCCAATCGGATCCCCGCCGATCGGATTTCTGCAACATCATACGAGAATCACGGCCATGGCCCCGGACCCTATCTTTCTGCGCCCCTTCTTCGAGCTGGATCCATCGGTGAGTGCCCAAGGGCCCCAAACTGGGCGAAAACGCCCGGCTCGAACGAATTAAATCGCCATGATCTCAGGGGAGGATCATCGGACGGGGCTAGGACGAGGATAAATCCGTTCAAGAGCGTTCTGGAACGCTCTCAGAGTGTTCTGGAACGCTCTGAGAAGGTCGCGGCGCCCCAAGCATCCTCCAGAGACGCCGGATCTTAGAGATTCTCGACTCATCCTCACCCGATTTAATCCTCGTCGTGGCTTCGTCTTTGAGCAGAAGCACCCCAGACCTCCGCGGATCGGATCTCTTCTCCCCAGACATCCAGCTGCTCTAATATTTTCGATGCGTAGGCCCCGGAGGTCTGGAACACTTCCCCACGGCCGGTTTTTCGTCCCGAGTCGTTTTGTTGACGGTCCGAAGGCCAAGCGAGGGCCTGTGGAGGCCGAAATCAGCCAAAAACCGCCCGCACCGATTTTTCTGGAGCCTCGGATCTCTGGGGACTTCCACGGATCGCATGTCTTCTCGGTCTGGCGATTTCAGCTCTCGATTTTTCGGCCCTTCTGCGCGCCCGTTTTGTTTGCCGGGCCCCGCGGCCGTCACGACGAGGGATCTCCATGGGCGCGAGGCGGGCCCCACAGGAAAGGGGTCGAGGCCTCCCAGGAGCCTCGCACCGAAAGTTTCGTCGGCCAAGTCGCCCGAGGAGCAACAGCTCGAGTAGGGGATCGACTACAGAACTGATTTACCCGGACCTTGAGTCGTATGCGAATCTACCACAAACCACGTACAGGGAGTTCCAAATCAAACTAGGGCGGCATGTCCGGGCTCAGTCTCGCGGGCCTACTCTACAATCATATTTCTAAAATTCATTGTTTTGTTTCATGCCTTGCCGTCATCGCGGGAGTGATATTCGAAAACCTAGTTTTAAAAATGGTCACGGTACTCTTCCCCAAGATTTTCTTTCAGATTGTCTTCCAGATCTTCACCCAGATCTTCCCCCAGATGTTTCCCTTGATCTCCCCGCAGATCTTCACCCAGATCTCCTCCCAGATCGTCACGCAGATCTTAGGGTTTCCTCCAGATCGTTATTCAGATCGTCTCTTGTTCTCATCAAAAATCCCCCCCCCCAGATCTTCACCCAAATCTTCGCCCAAATCCCCTCCTAGATCTTCACCCAGATTTTCCCTCAGATCCTCGCCAAGATCTTCCCCCAGATCTCCCCCCAGATCTTCCCCCAGATCTCCTCCCATATCTTTCCCCAGATCTTCCTTCAGATCTTCCCCCAGATCTTCTCCCAGATCTTTCCCCCAGATCTTCCTCCAGATCTTTCTCCAGATCTTCCCCCAGATCTTCCCCCAGATCTTCCCCCCAGATCTTCCCCCAGATCTTCTTCCAGATCGCCGCGCAGATCTCCCACCAGATCTTTCTCCAGATCTTCCCCCAGATCTTCCCCCAGATCTTCCCCCCAGATCTCCCCCCAGATCTTCTTCCAGATCGCCGCGCAGATCTCCCACCAGATCTTCCCCCAGATCTTCGCCAGATCTTCCGCCAGATCTTTCCCCAGATCTTTCTCCAGATCTTCCACTAGATCTTTCCCCAGATCTTCCCCCCAGATCTGGGGGGGAGATCTGGGGGATCGAGGTTCGAGGCCTTCTGGCCTTCGGGGGCGCGAAAAGCTGGCGCGCTGCGACCCCGGGAGGGGTCCGCGGTCCCCTCTTGAGCGGATTTTGGCCGAGCTTTGAGATTCGAGCTTTGAGGTTCGCGGGTTTTTTAATCGTATTCGGCCTCTCGGGGCCGTCTTCGGGCCCCAGGGCCATCAGAAACGGATCTGGCATGCAAAACTGCGATCCATGGGGAGGGGCCCAGACAGCCCCCAGACGACGACGACGACGACGACCACGACCACGACCACGACCACGACCACGATCACGACCACGACCACGACCACGACCACGATGACGACGACTCCGGATCGCTCTTCGATCTTGTTCCAGGTCTTCCCCGCGTGTCCTTCTCCAGATTTCCCCCAGATCTTCCCCAGATCTTCCGGCAGATCTTCCTCCAGATTTTCCCCCAGATGCTTCCCCAGCATTTTCCCTCTGATTCTCCCCCAGATCTTCCTCCAGATCTTCCCCCAGATCTTCCACCAGATCTTTCCCCAAATCTTCCCCCAGATCTTTCCCCAGATCTTCCCCCAGATCTTTCCCCAGATCTTCCCCCAAGATCTTCCCCCAGATCTTTCTCTCAATCTTCCCCCAGATCTCCCCCCAGATCTTCCTCCAGATCTTCCTCCAGATCTTCCCCCAGATCTTCCCCCAGATCTTTCCCCAGATCTTCCCCCAGATCTCCCCCCAGATCTCCCTTCAGATCTTCCTCCAGCTCTCCCCCCAGATCTTCCCCCAGATCTTCCCCCAGATTTTCCTCCAGATGTTCCTCCTGATCTTCGCCCAGATCTATCACCAGATATTACCCCAGATTTTCTCCCAGATCTTTCCCCAAATCTCTTCCCGGATGTTCCCCAAGATCTTCCGCAAGATCTTCCCCCAGATCTCCCTCCAAGTCGTCACCCAGATCTTTCCTCTGATCTTTCCCGATGTTGTCCCGCAGAGCTTTTTCTATGTTTCCCCAAAATTTTCACCCAGAGATTGATTCCGATCTTCCCCCAGATCTTCCTCCAAATCGTCCTCCAGATCTTCACCCAGATCTTTCCCCAGATGTTTCCCCATATCTTCTCCCTCAGATATTTCTCCAGATCTTCCCGAGATCTTCCCGCAAGTCTTGCTGCAGATTCACGACGCACTACACCTCCAAATCTTCCTCAGCACATTCCCCAGATTTTCGCCCAGATCTTCCACCAGATCTTCCCTCAGATGTCCCTCCAGATCTTCCTCCAGACTTCCCGCCAACTATTATATCCGAGATGTTCCCTCAGATCTTCCCCAGATCTTCCGCCAAATATTCCTCCAGATTTATCACTTTGCAACCGTGCCAAATCTTCCATTGGACACTTCCCAGATCTCCCGACAGATCTTCCCCCAGATCTTCCCCCTGCTGTTCCAGGGCGTCCCTTGTGTTGTTTCATGCCGCGTCGCGGGTCCGGTTCTTGTTGTTTAAATTCCTAGTTGTATTCTCTGCCTCGCTTCGGGGCTGCGATCTCTCCGCGACAACCTAAAATTTCAAATTCCTTGTTTTTTGAATATCTTGTTTTTTCAACCTTGCTGTAGAAGGTTCTGTTGATCTGCGGAGATTATACGCATTGGTCAGGCGGAATCCGATGAGAACACCAATTGCGGGGTAAATCTTATTCGGTAACTAGTAGTCGATACCCTACTTGAACAGTCAACGATCGTCGACGATAAATAATCCGCGACGGTCAACAATCGCCAGAGACCGCCCAAGATCTTCGACGATGAACCAATCGGCGGCGCGCCCGGGGGGGAGGTGAGAAGGAGCAGGCCTTCTCAGACTGAAGAAATCATCGCGTCGGCCAAGTCGTCAGAGGAACAAATTTGCTCAAGATCTTCGACGATCCACAATCGGCGGCGCGCCTCTGGGGGGGAGTGAGAAGGAGCAGGCCTTCTCAGAAGGCGGATGGGCTGCCCAGAAGCCGTCTGGCCCCCCCAGAAGTTTCCTGCATCTTCGGGGAAGGCCCAGAAAACTTTTCAGAAGGCTCGAGGCCTTCCGAGCCTTCTGAGAAGGCCCGCCCCTTCTCACTTCGCCCCCCTCGCTCACCGCCGATTCGACGATCAGCAGCAACAGTCCATCAGAGCCCCCGAGTCAGCGAATCGCAGGCTCCGGCGCGCCTGCCCGGCACTGAGGCACCGGGCAATCGGGCGGGCTCCCTCGGGATCCGCTTCAGTCCTGGGCGTTTGTCCGAGGTGGCGATTTGGACATAGCCACCGCCTGGAGGATCGATTTCGGAGACCTCAAGAGGATACGGACATGTTCGTGCCCCCCTGGGGCCCACATACATCTAATTAGATATACATATAATTTTATGTACATACATTTGTATGTATGCATGTATGTAGGTAGGTATGTACGTATGTACATATGTATGTATGTATGTATGCATGCATGCATGCATGCATGCATGCATGTATGTGTGTATGTATGTATGTATGTATGTATGTATGTATGTATGTATGTATGTATGCATGAATGCATGCATGCATGGATGGATGGATGGATGGATGGATGTATACATATATATATATATGTGTGTATGGATGTATGGATGTATGGATGTGTGTATGTGTTTATGTATGCATGCATGCATGCATGCATGTACGTACGTACGTACGTATGTATGTATGTATGTATGTATGTATGTATGTATGCTCGTATGTATATATGTGTGTATATGGATGTATGTATGTGTGTATGTATGTGTATATAGGCGTGTAAGTATGTATGCACGTATGTATGGATGCATGTATGCATGTATGTATGCATGCATGTATGTACATATGATGTATATATGGATTTACGAATGTATGTATGCATGCATGCATGTATGTATGTATGTATGTGTGCGTCTGTCTGTCTGTATGTGTATGTATGTATGTATGTATGTATGCACG